GCATGACGAAACTGATATTTTAGTGATGATAGGTGATGACATTATAAGCAGACCATGTGCACAGGTTGCTGCTAGTACTACACCTTGTCACGGAACTGTCGCCTGCTTCACATGTAATCTTTGGCATATGCATAGTCTGTTAGAGCAGGCCTACCTAAACAATGAACTGAACATTGTCTAAGACTTACTGTTGTCTGTTTCCCAATGTATTTTGGATGTGCATGCCTAAATAATGCCATTCTGTCAACCGCCTAACCTGTAGATCTACAGTAGGCCTACTCTGCAAAGCCTTGAAATGAAACCTGCTAAATTTAGGTGTAATCTGACTTCTATCGGGATGGGGGCAGGCAATCTCAAGGATTTTTTATGTTCTTGATTGTTAGCGTTGCGTTTCGGCGTATATTTTATTTGGGGGAATGAATATGTTCAGGGAATAAATTGACATTGCAGGTAGATCTACTGTAGACATTTTTTCACTTTCACGGCCTAAGGGAACTACAATAATGGATCTTAAAGAAATTAAACAGGACAACTCAGGCCAAAAGTTCTTGGCTCTGGCATCGTTCTTTCATACCACAACCACTGACAAAATACGCTTCTAAAGGGGGGTCTACTGGCCTGCGAAAAAATTTACGAGATCGGCGCGTGAATAGGACCTATCTGATGTAGTGATCATAGTGGAACAATAGTAAAAACAAAAACTCAAAACTCAAGCAATTTTGCATTAACTGTGTATTATCATCAGCATCCTTCAACTGTTCAAGGCCCGCCTTGAGGGCTTTTCCAGCTAGGTTTAAATACATAATTATGATGCTTAAAACGAATGTTTTGATGTCCAATAAGTAATTCATCCAAAACGTTTTTAAGTTAGTTATTAAATTAATCAATATATAACATCTCCGTAGAAACATGATCCGCAATCAGGATGCGAACCCAAGACCTGCAGGCAGTTAATACATGCATATTCCATGGCATTGTAAAGTAAGGACATACATGATGTAGCTTACCTGTATAGCTTACCAGTAATCAACTTCTCCGCAAGTGACGTCATGAATTTTGTGACAAAGAACCGTAAGACATTTATATCAACTTCCATTAAGAAATTTCGCCTCGCCCGAAGATCCAACCAGCGTCCCAAGGATTACAAATAATTAGGCGAAGCGGTTTGTTATCAGTTTGCACGTGTCTAAAGTATAACCTAAAATATATTACAAAATTCACTACTAAACTGAAACCTTGTCTTCTTATTCAACGATATAGAGAAATGCCTTTTCAATTCGGTTTTCAATGGTGACAATGTCAATACAATCTTGGTTGTGGTAGCTAAGAAAATGGTCGAAAACTATTAAAAATCGTAAATCCCAGAAAGCAAATGAATTGGGTAGGCCCTGTTTCAAGTGATGGAATGTATACATTTTTAGAAGAAAAGTAAACAAACTTACACTTATAGAAGAAGAGCGATGGCCGAAGTGTGTCAACCTATAGCTAGTGTGGAATAGAGTCCTTCATGGTTCACAACAATGTTTCCTTATGATTGTGGCACTATAATTTTAATAAAGATAAGATAAACTTAAAAGTGTTCATCACAATCAGCTTGAAATAAACAATGTTTTAATCACTGAGGCAAAGGTTTACAGTAAAACTAGGGTATCCTGACCGTTAATATACTATTATTTTGATTATTAAAAGTTTAATTGTATATAGTATTAAATTTATTTATTAAAATCGAGACGATGCCGTAAATGTCACATGAAATTTAAGTACTTCCAACAACAGGTCCCATTGTTCACAAAATGAGAAAAAAAATCAGGGACCCTGGCATAGTTTTCATTCCAGTAGGAAACTTACATACAATATACCTGGCTAGTCACGTTATGCGTAATTAAGGTATAGTATGTGCAGAGGTGGGGGGGGGGGGCGGCACACTCAACTTTCTGTTATTTCTAAAGTCATAAAGTCACTTTGGAGGAAGAATACTGTAATAAAGAATAATACTAGAATGCATAATCTTGTACAAAATGTAATTCAAAGTTCACATTTGACCTAGACAGTCAAGATCATTTATAATGAAAGTCATACTGAAATTATTGAACAAGTAAGTGTTGTTTTGTCCCAGGATAAATCATTTATGATAATTAAATGCAAAACATATGACAATTTACGCAGTTTTCGATAATTTCATCTTGATGGTCAAGTTGAATTTAAGGTCAAGGTCATTTTAGAATAACTCAATACGTCGGTTTTGTTGTACATGCTCTTTTGTCTAAGCATGAATAAACTCTGTAAATAAATGTTACGACAAAATCATGACAATATAAGCAAATAAAAATAATTTGACATCAACAGTCAGTCATTTAAAGGTCATACCAGAATTAACAGAATAAATGTAATTATTTTGTTTGTCTGGTCTTAAGGCGCACCAAAGTTATATGGCGCCGAAAGAGGAAAAAAGATCCTGGCTAAACTCGCGTGTTACAAACTTAAAGCAACACCCAGGGTCAAAACCTGCTGGAGCTTAGAGATGCATATACTCCAGTTTTTCGAACCCATTTAGTCGCCTCTTGTCTGACGATCACGCAGGGATAAACGGTGGCTGCAATATTTATGCCTCAATCATTAAAGGCAAACTCTCAGCCACAAGGGCACAGAATAATTTAACATGGCCGCCCAAGTGTTTCAAATTCGTAAATAAATAACAAAGTTATGAATAATTTAAATTATTTTCAACTATTTGACCTTGACGGTCAAGGTCAAATAAAGGTCAATGTCAAATTTGAATAATCTAACATTTTTTTTCTCTCCAAAAATGAAATAAATCCGTAAGTAAATAACAAGGTTATGACAAATCAAGCAAATTTAATAATTTGACCTTGAAATTCATGGTCATTGATGTGTGAAGGTCAAAATCAATTGAGTCTACTTAAAGGCCGTGTTCATAGGATTGTTGTGTCCAGGTATGAAGACAATCTATTCCAAAATAACAAAAAGCCAATTATAGAAAAAACAACAACAAACAAAAAAAAAACATCACAATTCAAACATTTGACCCTGAAGGTCAATGCCATTTATGAGTCAATTTCAATGTGTTCCATATGAAGGTATTGTCCAATGGGTTGTTCTGCCCAGGTAGGAAGATAGTCCATTAAGAAATAAAAACAAACAGTGGTCAATGTTAAAATTTCTTGACGCCAACGACAACCTGACCATAGCAATAACTCGAAATCTTTCTAGCTAAAAAAAAATGCTTATTAACCAGGGAACGTTTTTATTAGAGTTAGAACTAAGGATATAAATTATAGTGATAACTGAATCAAAATAAGGATCAATTTTATTATCATGACCAGTGTTAGGATCAACTTGTAAAAGCACATATCCTTAAAAGTAAAGAAGAAACTCAATGTTGTTTCAAGTATAGTTTTTAATTAAACATTAATCATGACATGTAACTTAATGAATACACTGTGATATGATTCGATTCTTTCGTAAACATTGGATACTTTACCATTCCGTACGTAATGAGTCCACCCCCCCCCCCCGCCGCTCTACCACGCCCCAACCCCCAAGTGACGCATTTTGATAATACTGTTGATATTTCGTTATCTGCGGCTTCCTCGGACACGAAACTACAGCAGTGCATTCGGCCATGGATGTTCCTTTAGTGTCATGGAATCAATTCTTAAACTCGTATTCAAAACTATTGGGCGTAACCCCCTCCACGATTTTACCTCAATGTTTATTTGAACATCAATTTTTTAAGTTTAATATTTATGTGTTTAGCTATACAAACAATATAGATTCAAACAGTTATTCTACAAAGACGAATGACATGTATGTATTTTGTTGCACAAGCCTCTCCTCCACCAATAGTCAGTTTGATGTTGTGGAGAAAATCACAAGACGGCAATATCTTCCTCATAGTTATTATGATTTAAGCCACCGAAAAGGTGACTGCACTGCGGTTTAGAATTAAACAACAACAACAACAAAATGCTTCGGCGATTTTGAATTGGTGCCAGTTTTTCCAGTGTTTCAGTAACATACTGCTGGGCAATTTACCATTCTTTTTATTCATGAATTTTGTTTTGTGCCAATAGTTACCTGTACCTGTTTATTTTTTTATTTCATTTTAATTTTTTATCAAGTTACTGTGAATTTCTCTACATGAGGAAAGATGGGAGCAGAGTTTAAGTTTCTGCAGTCGACCCAGGGATAGTAGGCTCGAGCCTTACTCTGGCCACGGCTGACCCCCGTACTGAGCGGACTCGAGAGTTTCAAGGACTTGTTTCATGAAATTGAACTGAAATAGATATGTTTAAACTACATGTACACGTAACTTTTCCACACACAAAAAATCAACTAAAACATTATGCAGTCATTTTACGAACATTCGGCTTCGGAGCAAAACCGGACCGAGGTAGACAAATTAATAATGACCCAAAGATCGGTCGATATCTTCCAACAAACACTTTTTGCAGCAAAAACAAAACAAGAAAAACTGCTATCAATTATGAATTTCTTTTATTATTATGTATTTTTATTACTTAATTATTTTACATTTTTTAATTTAAATTGCAGGTATCACGAGATTTAATTAATGGATTACCTGTAATGTTGTGACAGGTAAATGTTCTAAGATTCTGGCAAAACTCCGGACACACACCGCGTGCATAAAAATTCATTTGCGTGACGGTATGAAATCTACCTGTCACCATACCTTGCAATAACAGGCCGATAAGAATCCATTATTTGCCAATCTAACTCCATTAAAATGATCAGTCTTTCTATTCAATTGCATTAATGGTAATTGGCTCGTGTGAGCGTAGAAAATTAGCCTTTAAGGATAACCAGATCAAGTTAATTAAAAAGCTGCACACCTTTTTCACCTACGATGGGACAAGCCCGATAAGTAAGATAAATCAATTGTCTTACGGGAATTTGTTATCAAATTGATATTGATTAGGAGACTGCCAAAATATTCTAGCCGTCTGAGGTGACCCTGTAACACGAATAAAATAAATACACCATCTCTCTAATAGGCACCTGGCGGGCGGAATAACTACACCATACATGACTGTCATTTTAACAATACCAGCTTAACTGTTGTTACACACTCATGTTAAATACGGAATGTTATTGGGACGGTTTAATTTGTTTCTAGTTACTTATAACCTTTTCGAGTTCTATGAATACACGTATATATTGTTAAGGTAAAATTTTGTTATGATTAAAAAGTGACATTTAAAAAAGTTTAGCGGAAGCTGTCGCAAAGTACCGTAGTGTCATGCGCAATGATACAAGCTCAGGTCGGAATATTTCTCAATTCAATTGAAATGATGGAGGGAGGCAGGTGCGGACGGAGAAAACAGAGGAATCCGAGAAGGAAAAATGGTCAGTAAACATTCTTTCACTTTCTTTTTATTCCATATATGTCGTTTTATATGTCTGCCATTTAAATTTTCCTTTTATGGGCATTTTATGGCCGTGACGGTAATTTTACGTGAAGTTTACCTACGACTACCTGATCGGTACGTCACAAGTAATATTTGCTGATGATGCTGAATAAACGGGATTTATGGCGGGAAATCTTGTCTCTAATATCATTGCACGTGATTTTTGCTATTTTACGCTAATTTTTTGCTTAAAAATGCGTTAAACACGTGAAAGGTAAGCTGGGATTAAAGCAAAAATAAATGTAGCCTCATTTGGACGATAACCAAGTTTAGCATAAATGTTAAGATTCTTAATGGCGGACGGATGCTGGTCGTTGAGTGGTTTCGCTTAATTCGAGATATTCAGGTTACTTATCCTAAATATTACTTTATAAACGAATGTAAATAAAGTGTCAACACTTAATATTAGTAAGAGTTATAGAACAAAGAAAATAATTAGATTTTTTTAAAGGTTGAGGAAAAAATCGTAGTGGTGAGTTGTAGAGAAAATTGTCCTAACACACTTGCCACCGATTTATGAAAATAATTAACATATAGGAATGTAGGGGATATGGTAAATCAGACATATAATTCAGGTTTTATCATACATTCATGTAAAATAAGTGGTTAACATTTTATACCTAAGCCTAACCACTAGGTATACATGATTTGACAATTTGGAATATTTCTTAAAAAATTACAGCATTAATTCAGATTGGTACCATATGTTTCGCTAGTTTATATCAAATTTCACATAGGCTAGGTTGCAGAAACATGGGGTCCATTGTGGGAACTTAAAAGGTGTTTTCTATTCACCTTGATTCTATATAAAACAACTTTGATATATTCCCATAGTTTATGAAAATTAGCCTTTCTATAGGACAATTGGAGGGGTACCAGGCCTTCATTAAATAACTACACCATTTTTTTTATCAAAACCTCTACATATAATAAATCTTTTTGTAATATACCTTAAAAAATTTATCTTCAAAGATTTTTTGGCTTCTTTTTTTTTACTCCTTAAATGAATGGTCTTTAAAGAAATATGCAAATGAGGGGAAAGTATTGATTCTGTGAATGTTTCTGCTGAGGAATTGGTGAAATTATGATAATGGCATTCTAGCCTGCCAGTGTTCTGTAGCCAATAACACTGATGATAGTGAGTGCCTGAGATATCTAAAATAGTGCACAGTGTTCATGGTAGCTTTTCATGATTTTATACTTGTATTTATTGTATGAGTGATGTAAAAAATATATTGATTGATATTGAAAAGGGGCAAAATGTACATGTTGTATTAACAGATGGAATGATTTTACTGATGATTTAACTGAATAGAACTGTTCTCTTCTGTTCTGTTCTGTATACCCACACTTGAATTTTATTTATAATATTTTGCATTATTCTCCACTATTTTAAGAAAAGTATTTTGTCAGAAATTGAAACTGTATTGATTGACAATTAATATTAATTGGCCATGTAATTGATTAATTGTAATTATGAATTTGATCCTTAAATTATAAAAAAAAAGTGATGAAATGCTTTTTTTAATAGAATTAATCAGAGATTTATTAATAATGCAAAAACAGGTCATCATTCTGGAAATTTTATATATATACATGTACATGTATATGGTTTAATCATTGGTTTTATTGAATTAAAGCCTTTTTAGTTTAATTGATACAATGTTGAAATTAACTCTCTAATTATATACTTTTTTATAAATGATGTAATACTATATTAAAAATAACATTAAAAATATAAATTAAGTCAATTTCTATCGTCACTTGACAATTCAACAGTTTATATGTAAATACCAGTTAAAATGTATATAAATTACGCAGTATATCGATAAAAATATTTTTCCTAAAATCTTCCTGGTGTATTGGTACATGAGAAAGCGTTATTTCCCATCTAACTCACAGTATTAAATAAAGTACATATAAGGTAGATATATCAACCTTTGTTTGATTGTTCACAATCACGTGCGGCATGCCTTAAGTGGAGCCATTTCCTGAGTGTAAAGGCCCTGTTTTCTGCATCATGTAATAACGGGCGAAAAATGACAAAGTACCTTTTTAAGTATTTCCTATCATTTGATCATTATAAATCTGATATATAAGAGTAAATAGCATGTGTAAATTTATAATGATCACATTGTTTATATATATGTATATGAATATTCTGTCAGGAAACCAGTTTTAATTATTATTTAATAATTATTATAATTAATCATTATAAGTCTTCATGAATTGGTGTCATTTAAAAAAAATGGTGATGAAATTTTTAAGTTGCATCAGAATAAAATCTGAGTGAGAGACAACACTACATTTTTAGATAAAAATATATTGGAAAAAAACCCCTGAAAAATGGCATTATATTCCTCCCCACCGCCACCCTCACCCCCACCCTCCCCCACACACATACCTCATTTTTGAACACAATTAATAATTAGATAAAAATAAATTACAAAATAAAGTGAATATAATATTTTTTTATCTAATTAATAAAGAAAGCTGGTTCCTTTTTTGTGAAAATTAGCAAAAACCAGCGGAAATCAGCAAAATTGTGACAAATGATGTACAATGTATACCCTTCTGTGAAACTAAATAAAATATCAACACCCCTCTTGAATATGTCTATAAGTTACTCTAAGTTGTACAAATTTCAATGCCTTCTTGCAAAAAGCCCTTGATCTGCCCTGGAATTAGTACATAATGTATATTTTAATCTTGTTTATGAAATAACAACATTATCAGTTATATTTATTATTATGTTGTTGTTGTTTAATTATCATTGTCATTGTTGATTTTATAAGTGATACAAGGTTTTTCCCATGTATTCTTGTCAATATGAATTTAAGAAAACATTTAAAGCAGCACGCCTCCAGATTCATGCTTATTTTCATGAAAACTATAGAAATGTATTTAAAAGTTAAATATTGTGAAGTATAATGAACCAAAAGGAAACAATTTACACAATTAACAAACAGCACTGACAGCCCATGTAAATTACCAAATATAAGGTCAAAATATTCAAAAATAGCCTTTAATGCTAACACAGTAGAAATATGGTTATAAATACTGAAAAATCATTAATCACACATAACATTTAAATTATTACTTTAATATTTCATCTTTTTTCCTTTTCCTTAAATCTTAGTACATTTTTCTCATTTTCTCTATTGAAATATTTGGCCATTTGGAGTGATGCAGCTTTAAGCTATATAATAAGACAATATTTCAACATATTTCATTCCCTTTAAAATTTCTCTGAAATAAATCTTGCATTCACATTCTTTTCACAGACATTTTAAGTATAAAATGTACATTTATTTTTCTTTGATATTTACTATAAATAACTTTCAAACCCAAATATATAAAGAAATTGAATTCATCTCATTTAAATGTTTTCTGGATATAATCCATTATTTATTAATGCTGTCATGTCCTGGTGAAACTAAATCTGGTTTAGCCTTTGCCACAAGCCACTGATAAGGCTGCACCTCCATGCAGTCTGACCCACCAGGCACTACACTGTTAGCTGCCAAAGTTTAAATTTTTATCCTGAAACCCCCAAAGTTGATAATTTACAGTTCCAAAAACAGAAGTCAGTGGAACTTAGTCCATTTAAAGAAGGATGATGTTCATATAAATTATTATTTGATGAAAATATTAGGAATAATAAACCCATTATTTCAATCAAGTTATCTTATGCAAGATATATAATTATACATAATATTACAGTAAACTTCACTTATAGCGAACACGGTTAAAGCGAACTTCCGGTTATAGGGAACAATTTATTTTGGCCCGAATTTTGGCCTTCTTTATTTAATATAAAAATATATGGTTATAGCGAACACGGTTATAAGGAATTATCGCTTATAAGGAACTCATTTCTTTGTCCCAATTTAGTTAATAGTACTGAAAATTACACTTTTATAACAAACTCCAAAATATTGTACTTCCAATACATCTATTTCAAATGAATTTGTATAGTTTTCTATTTTGGATATTTTTAGCATGAGCTCTTTTCACCAGATAAAACGGTTATTTATTTATTTTCTTCAATAGTTTTGCTCGAGTAAAATAATTATAATAATTTATAAATCAGTTTTCAACAAAATCATGCATGCTTGCAAGCATGATCCATTGCAAACTGCAAAGAACGCTTGATTTTAAATGAAAAGAAATCTATATCTTACATTAGTAAAGTCACCCTTAAATCCAAAAATTTTTTCCAAAATAAGAAAGATTATTCAATATAAAAGGAGGGCAGTTAAAAAATAAGAAAATCTTGGTTTTATTCTCAATCATTGGGAAAGAAAAACGAAAATTGTTTAGAAACAAAAATTTAATATTTTATGTGAAATTGAGACTAAGGAGTAAAAACTTAAAACTGAAAATAGCAGAATCAAAATTCCAAAAGAGTACGCTCTCGGGTAGTGTGTCTAAAATATTAAATAAATGACTAAATATTTTCTGATTTCTTAAAATCAAATTCTCTTCAAAATGGCAGGACAATGGTAAAAACAATCAGTTTCGTTATATGTAAACTGTTCGCCATAAAAACAACTCCTGGATACAACGATACTAATGCGCTATATGCTTACAAGCGAACTCTGGGATATAAGGAAAACAGGTTTTGCATGTCCCAGTGAGTTCGTTATAAGCGGAGTTTACTGTATATCATATTAAAATATAGGCCATATCTGAGTAATAACTTCCTTTATAATTCTTCCCTTATGTAGAAAAACATGCAAAATAGACACTTTATTGTCAGTCTGTAGGCAGGTTATTGTCAGTGTGCTGTTAGTGCTGTCAGTTAAATTGTCAGTGTGCTGTTAATTAAATTGTCAGTGTGCTGTTAGATTAATTGTCAGTGTACAGTTTGTTTTGCCAGTGTGCTGTCAGTTAAATTGTCAGTGTGCAGTTAGATTAATTGTCAGTGTACAGTTT